CCACTCATACCAGACTGAATATGTATTAGTTTACCAATACCACTCATACCAGACTGAATGTGTATTAGTTTACCAATACCACTCATACCAGACTGAATGTGTATTAGTTTACCAATACCACTCATACCAGATTTTGAGATAAATTTTCCATTTACCAGAGAAATCATATCTTGTTGGTCCCATCCATCGATGTCTTTCGCTGTCCTTTAAAAGATCACCAAAAAAACCATAACCAACAAATGACATGGTATACTGTAGTAACTCATCTCTATTGTGTACAGAACATACATCTAATGGCTGGCTGTCACCTAAAAACAAACACAATCAGAGCAAATATGTCACTTCCATTTGAGACTCCTTGACATTAGGTTTCGCATCAAGCCGATGGGTCCCATAGGCACCCACAAGTGTACTCCGCTGGCCTTTAATTTGAAAACAACTTTTTGTCGATAACGGCATGCATCTAGTTCAAACTGTTTTAGGCAACGGGTTTTCATAGACTCATAGACTCTGGTCAGTCAAAATGACTATTTTGAACTGTAGGCATTAATCTGCGATTCAGCCAATGACAGAGAAATAAATCTAGGTCAGGTCCCTATGACCTCAAGATTTTCCCTCACATCATAAACCACGTGACCGAGGCCATGAGGCGTAGCCATAAGGCAAAATACGTCACTTTTGGTTCTTTCTTTCTCCACGCCGAGGACTAAGCCAACGCTACGGAAAGAGTGGGGTGGTTGGAGGACCCGGAGTCTATAGTGGGTATGAATTATGTGAATAGGCAGGTTCAGAGAACCCTCTGCCTAAATTCACTAAGTTCAATTACCCACCATAGACTCCGGTCAGTCAAAATGACTATTTTAAACTATAGGCAGAGTCAGACGCCGATAGGTGGCGGGTTTCCGAGTAAACAAAAAGTGATAAAAAGTGTGTCCCAGTCTAAGATAATGCTCTCCAGTAATAGACTACCACCTAGTTAAGACCAATACTGGAAATGGTGTCTCATCTTGCCTGTGCAGTCCCCAGTGCAAGAGCCAAGATTTTGCCACGGTGACGGGGTGCGGTGGGCCCGAGAATGCTAGACCACGACCTCAATTCTGGAGTCACTAGCTTGAAATAGAGACCGAAACAGTTCTGCATGAGGGCATAGGCTGAAAGCGAGACCTGGTAATTCCAGGGGGTGCAAAAGGTAGAATTCTGTCCGCAAAATTGCTGAGATTGACTTATCGTTTATGCACAGAGACCCCTGCAGTCGTTTCAGGCTGGGTCAGTAACCAAAGTCTGACCCGCTATGACGGGACCCATCCTGAAGAGAACCTCCTCAATGGATTGAGTATATCTCAGGTGGTAGTTGATAAAGACGTTCTGTGTTCTCCAGAAGCCTGCCCTCAGTCAAAGTTCGAGGGGGGGCACCTAACGCTAGTGCTAGTGAGTTAGCAATCGCACAGACCTCATGCGCTCGTAATTGGTGTCTCTGCAATTTCTGTGTCGAGAAACTATAGACTTCTAACACAGTCGCAGTAATCCACCTGGCGATGGAAGTCGGGAGGCTGGCCTGTCTTGCTTGCTTTGGCTGTAACACAAAAGCATGTGCTTGGCACCCCATCTTGAATCTCTAGTACGGTTTTCGTAGCAACTCAGTGCTTGAACCGAGCCGAGAAGCAATTCCTCCTGATTCTCCGGGCCGACAATGTTTGACAGTTGGGGGATGATGATCAGCTGGGGATCGTGTCCTGGGATTTGGTTCTTGGCGAGAAACCTGATTCGTGTCTTTAGCACAACTTGATTGTCCATAAAGGCGGTATATCGTCCGAGAAGGACAATGCCCCCAGTTCTGACCGATGTCTACCTGAGGCGAGGGCCAGTAGGAAGACAGTTTTCCATTTCAAAAATTTGAGTGGTGATGATTGGAGAGGCACAAAGGGCAGCCTGCTTAGAGCGGACAACACAACTGACAAATTCCAGTTTGGTGGTTCCCTTTTTCAGGGTCCTGGCCTATGATTAGGAAAGCAGTAAACAGTCTCCTAATAATAGGACAATCGGCTAGTCTTGTTTCCAAAGCATTCTCAATGGTGCAGGACAAGGCCAACCTGTAGCCAACAATCGCTGCGTAGGACAAACCCACTTCGTCAAACAGGTGGACGAAGGAGTCTGCTACCTGGCCAACAGAGGGATGGCATGGATCAATCTTCCTTCCGATTCACCCATCCGTGTATGCTCGCCACCTCGAGTTGGAGGCAGTGTTGGTAGAATCCCTGTTTACCCTGCCCAGGACGTTGGCAGCCCGCTCAGACAAGACTTTTGTCTGAGTGAGTCTACTGAGAGCCTCCATGCGTGTAAGTGATACACCGCTGGGCTCCTTGGTAGTGCGCCGTCCAGTTGGTACGGCAGGTCCGGTAAGTTCGGAAGCACTACTAGTGTTTCAACTAGCATTTCCAACAAAAATGGGAACCAGTCCTTGGTTTGCCAATTGGGTGTGACCAATGACAATATGCAGCTGTGCACCTGTCGAAGTTTTTTCCGGTACCCGGTGAACTAGCGGGAAGAAAGGAAGGCGTACAGATCTATGTGGGTCCACGGGGCGACAAGGATGTACGTCGGGAGCTTGGCGTTCCAGGGAAAGGTAAACAAGTCTATCTTTGGGCCATCCCACAGCCAAAACAGCTTGGAGGCTACCCACTGGGGTATCTGTCACTCCGTGTCCTGGAGGCGAAGACCCGCATGAAAAAGCGTCTGCCAGAGTGTTCCTAACCCCTGGAAGGTGGTGTGCTCCACATAGTATTCCAGGCACCAAAGAAGAACTTCCTCTGCTAGGACTGACAACAATGGAGACGCATCCCCCCTCCTTGTACATGGAGACCACTGCTGTGTTGTCTGTGCGGAGCAGGACTCTGTGGTCTCGAACTACAAGCAGAAAGTGTGGTAGTGCCAAGTGCACTGCTTTCAGTTCAAGCCTGTTGATATGACGGTCCCGAAACCAATGCATGGGCCATATACCTTGGGCTTGTTCGTCCAATAGATGCACTCCACAGTCTTTGAGGAAGGCATCTGTTACCAGAGTCACGGTTGTGGCGAGTGGGTCCAAAGAGACCCCCTGCCAGAGGTAGGCCATTGACAACCACCAGGGCAGGACTTCCTTTGCTTAGTCTGAGAAAAACAGTTCCTGTATGTGTGCTTGGTGTTGTAGCAAAACATGCATTGTACCGAGTAGCTGTGTAATGCAGCCTGGGGAACTACCCTTCAAACCAAGGTCATCATTCCGATGATCCGCATTAGTTCTTGGAGGAACACTGAGGGAACGCTGACTAGGTGTTCGGCTAGGTTGCTAGCACCAGGCAACGTGCTTCGAATAGATGTACCAAGCCTACCTCTGTGTTGAACTCCATGCCCAGAAACACGAACTGTTGTGTTGGGTAGGGATGAGACTTTGTCTGATTTACTAAAGAGCCCAACTGGTGAAGTAAATCCTGTATTAGCCTTACTTGCTAAGCTAATAACCCCTTGTTTGGGTTATGTAATAACCAGTCGTCTAGGTATGGATTGATGTGTACCGGCGTTCCATCCATTCTGGTGAAACGTAGGGGGCTGTGCATAACCCAAAGAGGGGGCTCCCGAAATTCAAATACTTGGCCCAGCTGGGCAACTCAAAGGAGATGGCAACTCACCGGGTGCATCGGTATGTGCAGGTGGGCCCCGCTTAAGTCTAGTGAGGCTAGCCAGTCGAAAACGGTGGATGGAGAAAAGAACGGTGCATGGCGTCTCCATGCGGAACCTATCGAAGAGCACGTACTGATTCGGTCTGCCTACATACTGATATAGTCTGTCTAAGTCCAAAAGTCCAGGGATCGATCACCCGCTGCCTCTAAACCAGAATACACCGGCGCAATCTGTGTGTGACTGGGACATGAGGTGAGTCCCCACGAGGCCTGAAGTAGACATTAAGTTGTGACCTGGCCTCTCGCCGAACGTATGCTCATCAACCCAACCCACCCCCCGCTCCCCGTTGCAGAGGTAAGCGTCAAACATGCTTGCCCTGCTGCCAGGGTGGATGACTGCCCCGGGAGGATGTGGAACCACCACCTGGTCCTCTCTCCATGGAGGCGCGCCGCCACTCTTCCCTCCCGCGGAAGGATATGAGCACTTAGGGCGTTGTGTTCTCTGCGCTTGGGGTGCCTTTCGTTTACACTTGGCAGTGGCCAACTGGCTCGTGGATTTGACCTGAACCATATGGCTCATTGCATTTGTCCGAGACTGTGCCCGCCATCTCTCCATCAGATATATATATATATATCTGCATAACTGAGACTCAGTTCGCTGACGAAAACACATGCGTCTAAGACCGTGTCTCAATGCACAGTAGTTGCCCCGGCCAGGAGAGCCAGGTGACACTGGGGGGATGTTGCACGTAGCTGTGCAGCGGTCCACCAATTGGGGTGTCGTCTGGTCTAGGAGGTTGGTGCGTTCAGCCTTCGGGGTCTCAGAGTCCGGTGCACGCACAATAATGCACTCCAGCAACTCTGCCCATGGGGCCGGATGGATAGTCTCGGATTATGAAGATGACCCCCATGGAATGCGACCATCCCCCTTTACCCGGTTCGCCAAATGGAAATTCGTGATACTGGGGTCTGGGGAAGGAGCCCTTGGATCCAGTCAGGGGCGTTTGATCTCATCTCACACTCTGGGGTCTGATCCCGAAACAACACCGACCAGGTATGGTTTGGCCTAGCGGAGAGAGTTTTGCATAAGATTACCCAACCCGGAGGGCCATAGGCGTTATCTCCTCTGTGGCTGACCAACATCTGCCCATCAACATTTTCTGCGCGCCCTCCGCCATGCTTAGCATTCGGCCGGACCAGGGGAAACGTGGCGACGAGGATAATTTGGATCCCTGTGCCTGTGTTCCTATAAGTGTTGAAGCAACAGTGAGTGGTTGCTTTCTAGGAACGAGGGTGGTGGTATGTGCACCTTATCAATAGGGTCGATGATAACTCGTATCACCCTAGTGGCATGGCTCACCGAGTCATTACGGACGGATGACTCTGAGGGACCGGCCGAGGTTACCTACTGTATCTGATGTGGATGAACTGCTTCCCTTCAAAAAATGTGAGCAAGAGCGTGTTCAACTGAGTGTCTAATGACAGGGTCAGTCCCCTCCGGGAACGCCTGTGGGTCGCAAGGAAGGAAGTCGATACCCACGGCGGAGCCTGGATTCAAGGGTAAATTTCTGATTCTGGTTCTGTACAGCGAATCCTTGCTGGCTGATCGCAGAAAGGGCACAACGGCTGTCCTGTCCCAAATGCTCTGCCCCAAAATTGGAGGCTTGGCTGCCAGCATCCCCGTTGGTATTCAGTGCCCGAGGTCAGGGTGGAGAACTGGGGGTTCCTGGGAAGAACCATGTCTTTTGAGGTACGAGGTACCAGTAGACGAGTGCGAGGACGCACGACCTTGCTGTGAAATAAGAGCGATTCGGTCAGTCTCAGCGATTTTGCATGGCTCTGGAAAACATCTCAGGCCTCATAATTCTAGTGAATACACACGCCTTCAAGGCAAAAACCCTGTACCCCGCACACAATCACGTCCAAAATAGCATTGTCGATGCGGGTTCCATGCTGGTAAATTCCAATTATAACCACAGAACAGTCGCCTCGAAAATTGAGGAGATAAAACCAGTGGCGAGCCTCTGGTGCTGTCATTACATCTATCCATTTT